AGGAGGTGGGGGCTCCCCAAGATCACGGGCTCGGCCCAGGAAGCGCCGTCCCTCCGCTCCACCCTGGGCTTCTCCACCTCGCCGAGGGCCAGCGCCCCCTCCCTGCCCTCTGGAGCCGCCCTGCCTGGGCTCTCCTCGCCTCTCCGCTCCGTCCCGTCTCTGCCCACGGAGCAGCAGGGCTCGTGGGGGCTTCTCCCAGGCTTCTCCCAGACCCCCAAGGGGGCGCCACAGGGCTCTCGCTCCTCCTGGTCTCCCTCCAGGATCCTGCCGTGTCCTCCCCACCTCTCCGGCTTTCTGGGCCCCTCCCCAGCACATACCACAGAGGGAAGCCGAGTCCCGAGAAGCCCCGACCGGAGCTTGGGCCTGGGCTTCGCGGGCCGCCCTCCCACCCCTTCTTCGGCTCTGGTCCTTCTCACCTGTCCCCTCCGAGGGAGCTCCCGGGACACAACGTCCACACAGGTCCCTCCTCCGGCCTCTCCGTGCCAAGGCTGGGAGCTAGAAACAGACAGGCTTCTGTGGGGGCACCTCTAGCCAGACGTGGGTCTTCCTGGCCCCAGCCGGGCTCCTGTGCTGCAGCCAGGACAGACGAGGCAAGTGCCGCGTAAGCAGGCGCTTGTTCCAGGACAGGCTATGGCTCAGGCTGTGGACATGGGCACGTATGCAGCGAGTGGCATGTGGTGCGTGCCTCTGTGTGTGCACACATGTATGGCTCTGCATGTGCCTCTCTGCGTCTGTCTCTGTGTGTGCTTACAGGTGCACACATGTCCTGCTTGCGCGTATGAGTGTATGTGTGTGGGACTCTGTGCCTGTGTGTGCCTGTGTGTGACCGTGTATCCTTGTGCCTCCGTGTGCACACATGTGCCTGTGTGTGTGTGTGCGTGCATGCACGCGCATGCATGCGTGCTGGTAGGAAGAGCATCAGGAGAGTGTGGCCTGGCCCCCACCCCAGTCTCGCCACTGATTTTTTTCTTATTGTGAAATAAGAAATCCGCAAAAGACGGGCCAAGCAGAGAGGATTGCCTGAGCCCAGGGGTTTGAGACCAGCCTGGGCAACTTGGCAAGACCTCGTCTCTACGATAAACCCAAAAATTAGCCAGGCGTGGTGACGCACGCGCATAGTTCTAGCTCTTTGGAAGGATGAGGCAGAAGGATTACCTGAGCCCAGCAGGCCGAGGCTGCAATGGCCATGAGTGTGCCGCTGCACTCCATCCTGGGCAACAGTGAGACTCCCACTCAAGGAAAGAAAAAGAAAGAAACCCACAAACACCAGGCTCACCTCCCAAGAGCAGATGTGAGCGTCACAGAATGTGGGTTTTTTCCAACCAAACGTAGCCGAACATACCCGCTTTGTGACAAGTGGTGCCACACGGCGGGTCCTGAGATGGGCAGCATGCAGGGTGCAGAAGCCCCGGACGCCAGGCCGCCCTTCGCCGGGTCGGCCAGCACAAGGAGAAGCCGCACACGTGGGCTGCAGGGCTGATGTCCACTGGCCAGGCCCTCATTCCAGTGCCTGTTAACCGGGGACGAGGTCCAGCAGCTTGGACAGGATGAGAGCCAGGCGCTCTGGCTCCCTGGTGGCTCCACAGTGCCCAGTGCCTTCCCTCAGTTGCTCCTTGGTGCAGCCCGTTCCACGCCCAGAGAGGGAGGGAGGCCTGGGTGCCGTGGGGT